GTCCAGCGTGTCGGCCGATGTGCCAATCTTCCGAATCGCCGTGGCTGATCTTCTACCAGCCACTCACTTCTACTTGGTGACCTACGCCGTGAATGCCAAAGGCCGTAGCGAAGTTTCGCTGTTAGAAGATATAATGCTGCGCGACTCGGAAAAGCATACAGGTAATTAAGTTATAAAAAGGAAGTTATTCTGCAAAAGTGTCAAAATTGAATTTTCATCGCGTGATAAATGTTTCTCTCTTTACTTTTATATTTTATCTGGATATATCCGTGTATAAAATAAATAGTATAATAAAAAAAACTTTATCTCCGTTTTTTATAACAACAATAATAGATAGAAATGAAATGCTATAAGAACATTTCTATACGGATATGTTATATTAAATAGAAGTTTTTTTTTAAAGAACAACATTTCGAAGCTTTTTTTGAAACTGATTTGATTTGGGATTCAGATTTAGAATATATTTCAGGTTTACCCTCAAGAATGAAAATTAATTTAGATGAAATTGATAATATCCTGCCAAAAATTGTCTTATATAAAAGGGATTGACAGAGATTCATGATAAATAATTTAATTTAATACTTAAAATTGAAACGAATAATGAAATTCACTGATTATTTCGATTTCCATTTCTGACATATTGGCATCGTTAGTTATTTTGACAGAATCATAAAAGAATAAAAATTACATCTAATAATAATCTGTAATAATAAAACTAATAATAAAATGAAATACTAATTCAGATTTATTTAAAATTTCGTAAACTTATAAATCTGATAACTAAAAATAATCCGTAATATTTATAATTTATGTGATTTATTATTTGTCTTACAGGAAGAATCTATAAATATACTTTCTATTTATAATAAATCACGTTTATTGCATCTTTTATTAGAAATTTGCAATATGTATGATTTACCGTAAACAAATCTACTGCTATATATATTTTCATTCCACGAATGAAAAATAATTTATTTCTAACTGAAATATCTTACACGTATTATAATAAAAGACGGAATATATCAATTGGAGACTAGCAAATTTAACGCGTTCGTCATCATGCGCGTTACATGATTAACACAACTAATTACAATTTTTCTAATTACACAGCACGATATAAAATATATTTTTTAATAATATTAATTTCTTGTTGATTTTAATTACAATTGAT